AAAAAAAATTTAAGTTTGTTTTTAAAAAATATTTTCAACTTTAAAATTTCAATTTTTCACCCCTACCCTCGACCCCCTTCACCCACCCCCTATCATCCCCACCCCAAAAAAAAATTTAAGTTTTGTTTTCAAAAAATATTTTCAATTTCAAAAATTATTTTCTACTCTAGTAAAAATAAAAGATATTTCTCAAAAATATTTTTCATTCATAAACCAAACACTAAAAATCTTTTCCGGAAAATATTTTCTCCTCACCAACCAAACATGAGAAAATAAGTCAAAAATTTACTTGTTTTCCAGGAAAACATTTTCCTTCATACCAAACATACCCTTAGTTAGTATATGATTCTATGATTTATGAGTAGCTGGACTTTAAGTTGCAAATCTTCCTTGTGCTTAGCTTTATTTCATTTTGTAAGGTCTCCCCATGTTTGGTTGTTTTACTAGATCATTGGAAAAACTATTTACATTGAAGAAGGCATACTGAAACTGAGAAAAAGTTGATCATGCTTTCCCTAATATTAAATAGGGCTTGTTAAGGAACTGTATACTATGTAACAATTTTTTCACTCAATAAAATGGTCATATGTACATGTAATGTATCAATATTGTATAATTGTGTATATATATTATGTATAATTATGTATTAGAGATGTATATACATCCATATACGCTATTTTATACAATATTTATTCATTGCAGCAGTTCATCTTCCTCAACGAGCTGATTTAATTTTGAGAACGTTACCTAATTAGACAAATATTTGTACCATATCTACTAAATTCTTCTATACTTAAAAATAATTACATAATCTCTTTCTCTCACTCTCCCTCTCCTTCCCTTTCTCTCTCTCGTGCTTATTTGGATATCTGATACATGTATATATGCACGGATACACTAATGAATGTCTCAATGTATATTTTGATATTAAATACATGTATTTTTTATATTAGATACATGTATCTCTGTACAAATACACTAAATATTTGACACTGATGAAATTGATTTTGGATAGCACCTGAGTATAGCATTGAGAAATGTTGTCAACAATAATTCAAGATAGGCAATGAAGGCCATAAAATCTTATCTTTAACTTAATACAAAAAATTCAAAAGAAAAGAGAAGGTGATTGATAGCTATTAAGATTTTTGCTTCACTATAAATGTTAAAACTTACAAATTAATATACGTACTACTAAAAAAAATTTCTATTTAAAAAATCAAATAAAAGAAGAAAATGTTGTTATAGTTGAAATCAAGGAATAAATAAGAACAATTTAATGAAATTTATCTTTTAGTCACACGTGTCAAAACAAAACATGAAAAGTAATTAAGAATCGAAAAAAGAGGAGTCAACACTTTCAAAATTAGTTACTACTCAATGCTAACTTCGCATTGTAGTATTTTATTCCCATCCATTACTCAATTTTTTTTTAATCTTCTTATTAAAAGGAACACACACAAAAGGAAAGAAACAAATAAAAAATATATAGCAACAAAAAAAACATGATGTCTCCAAAGGCAAAAACTCTCATCATCCTAAGTTTATTCTTGTCATTTTTATCTCTATGCAATTGTCAATGCAAATTTAATGATCAAAGCACAAAAATAAAAGGAATGCTTATATTTGGTAGCTCATTAGTTGATAATGGGAACAACAATTTTATTGAAAAATGTAAAGCAAAGGCAAATTATTTGCCATATGGAGTAGATTAGGTAAAAGGTCCAACAGGAAGATTTACAAATGGTAAAAATGTTATTGATCTACTTGGTGAACATGTAAAACTTGGTCCAATTCCAACATTTAAAGATCCTACAACTAAAGGGAATGCCATTCTTCAAGGTATTGATTTTGCTTCTGGTGGTTCTGGTATTCTTGATGACACTGGTGTTGTTTCTGTGAGTTCTTTAATTCATTTCTCTCTCTTTATTTCTTTACTTGTCATAAAGTTACATGGTATTATCTACTTTTTCCGTTCTTTTTTAGTTGTCATGTTACGCTTAATGTTAGTCAAAATTCATATCGTTTGACTGTTAAAAAGAAAATTATGACAGCTAAAAAAGAACAAAAGAGGTATTTTCTAGGTGAAATATTGATTAACAATGTCATCATATTTAACCACAAATATTTAGTACTAGTAATTTTTAAGCATTAGCCAAATAGATTCTTCAACAAAGGGACATTTTTGCTGAAATTTTATACAAAAATGAACTATTTTGGTTATATGTTAATTAATGAAACTCCTTGGGAACTTTTTAGTACAATATAATAATAAAGGGAGTTCAAAAGTTATTTTAGATCGCAATATCAAATCTCAATTGTTAAAAGTAGATCAATCTACGATGTATGTAGTAGGCTTGTGATTTTGTAGATCATATTTTTAACCACATGATATATATATTATATGTTACTCTTCTGTCTCAATTTATGTGACACCTTTCAGATTTTGAAATTCAAACAAGTCTATCTTTGATCGTAAATTTTTCATATGTAACTTATATAGTACTTTTTACGTAGTTTACAAATTTCTAATCAAACTTAAACTGTCTGACTCTCGAAAAACGAGGAATATATATTGATGTTTGATTCTTATAAATAAATTATTAAATTGTTAGGGAGAAGTGATAGGCATGAATGAACAAATCAGAAACTTAGAGAGTGTAACAATACCTGATTTGGAAAAGCAACTTGGATGCAAAAGCAATGAAGCACTAAGCAATTACTTATTTATAGTTGGAACTGGTGGAAATGACTTTTCACTAAACTACTTCTTGAAATTCCCATTCAATAATTCTACTCTTCCAGGCTTCATTTCTAAATTGATCACTGGACTCTCTCAACAACTCCAGGTACCTGACTACGTCACACCTTTTGTTGGCTATGCCTCTTTCGTCATTACAATATTTTCGTTAATTAAATCATACGATTTGATTTTACAGAAGTTGTACGACTTGGGTGGACGGAAATTTGTGGTAATGTCATTATATCCAAATGGTTGCAGTCCAATGGTACGAGCTAGACTCCCAATTTCAACGCCACATGATTGCGTTCAAACAATAAATGTACCTTTAGGTCTCTACAATACCAATTTAAGGAGCTTGTTGGATTACATGATGCAAAAAATGCCTGATTCTAAGTTTGTCTATGTTGATGTCTTCAACATTATTAGGAATATCATAAGAACTCCTTCTCAATTTGATATGTCTTTTTTACTTTCTTCTGGATAGATGGATGGATGGAATAAATGTCTATATTGCTTTATAATATTATTGTTATGTTGATGTTATATTAACGAATGATATCTAAATAAGTTTTTCTTAGTTTCATTCTTTAGAATTGTCTTTCTCATACTTGTGTACGTAAACAAACTTCAAGTCTGAATTGTGTACTGTACTCAACGGAAAACGTCATACACCCCTGATGTCGATCTGCAGTACTAGTTTGAGAAAGTCATTTGATTTTTAACCTAGAGAGAAATTGGTTGCTATGAAAAAAATTGGAATTAGATATCAACTTCGTTGTTAAATAAATAGTTTGTGTAGTTAACAATTTTTTTTTATGATATATTTTGTTATTTAGCTACAAAATTGATCTGTCGCTAGTGAATGAAAGATGAATCTATCAACTATTAATAGGTTAGACTGGTCCTATATTTTCTTAGCATGCACGACTATGTTATACTTGTTTTTGTTTCAATTTACGTGACTTACTTTTCTTGAATTTGCAATTTAAACACAGGTATTGATAATGTGAGAGATCCTTGTGGTGAAGTACTAACAATAAAGGAAGGTGGGAATTCAACTTTGTGCAAAAATGGAGGACAAGCTTGTTCAAATAGGAACAAATTTGTGTGGTTTGATGGGTTGCATCCCACAGAAGCTGTGAATGTTGTGCTTGCTAATAAGGCCTTTAATTCTGAGCTTAATAGTGAAGTTTATCCAACAAATGTTAAAAAACTCATAGAAGGGTAATATAATTAATATGGATTTTAGAATTAAGATAGTTGCAATATGTAAGAACTTTTTGAAGCCTAGGATGAGATTTTAAAATTTTGGTGGTAATAATATTTTTAGTTTAATTATATGCCACATTTCACAAGAGATCTTCTTTATGTTAAGATGTGGGAGATCAATAGAATAAAATACAAGAATCATTTTCTTCTTTTGTAATTAGTTATTTTATATTATTTCATGGACTGTTGAGTGGTGATTATGCTTGTAGCTATTGTTATTCTAATTAAAAACAAAAGGTATAGTTGAATTTGTATGCTAGGTTTAAAGGACAGACAGATTGAATCGATCGAAGTAAATGAAAAATAATTAGAGTCTTGATCAATCTGGAATTGTAGTTACCCTTATGTCAGGGTGTTGGACATCACTTGTCGGAAAATTATACCGTATATACAAGTAAAATAATAAACAAAGTGGTTAAATAGCATATTTTGGACTCCCTTGACACAACAATATGATGTAGCCTAGTGGTTTCAGACACTCTTGAAAGAGTGTTCGAATCTCACTAGTAATAACTCTTTTTTTTCACTTTTTAGGAAGAGCAGACTCACTTTAGCACTTGAACACTCTTCTTGAAATTTTTGACTCCGCCACTGAATTGGATGTACAAGAAAATGACAAAGCTAATTGAAATTAGAATATAATAATGAGAAAGTCAAATTTGATGTCCTCGAACATGAAGATTGAACCCCTCTAACATGATATCCTTAAATGTTTTTCTTAATAGGTGTTTATTGTCTCACAAATTCAGTTATATACTAAACGTAATTTTTGATCTATTTATTTAAAGTAATTAAATTCCAAAAATATACTTATGTGGTCGTCAAGGAGCAAGACTTGTATTTTTAGTTGGGAAAAGCCAAACTTGGTGTTTAGATTTGACATTGTCTTTGTTTGAACAAATCAGTCACTTGACTTTCTCATTTACTCCCATTTTCATGAGGTTTTAGTTTTCAAACTTTGAATTATTTGAGGTTGATTATATAAATTTATTGCGTTCTTAAATAATTCATCATGATAATAAGACTACTTTTGTATAAAACTCAACTTGTTTATTGGTTGAGATAAATTAATGTCATATATTTAATTAATAAATTTATGTGTTTATATATTTTTTTGTTATAATAGACACTTTTATCATTAAAATCTATATTTTGAAAAAATTTCAAAAATAAAAACTACATATATAATCGCATTTTCAGGTTTACGCCCTTATGAGTTATGTCTATTTTTTTTATAACAATATTTATGCATTTTTATATATTATTATAATAAATTGTTTACACATCTATGTAAGTAATGTATTTATTTTGTATAAATATAAAATATATAATAATGTATAAAAATAAATTTACTTTGTATTAAGTGTAAAACATGTCTTTTGTAAATTTCAAATAATATATATATATTACTCTCTGTCCCAATTTATGTGAGCACGTGTGAAATTTTGAGAGTCAATCAAAATTTCAATATGTTTTTTAAATATTTTATGTTGTTAATGATTGTGATTTATAATATTATTTTTTTGTAATTTTTAAATATATATAACATACTTAAAAGGAAAGTAAGACATACATTGAACAAAAAAATGTGTTAAATATAAATAGAAGAAATTGAAGTAGAAGGACAAATCAGAGAATTCACTTACTGATCCTTAACGCCCAATGTATGTTACTTTATTTGTCTCAATTTATGTGGCTATCTTCTTATTTTTAAATAGTTTAAGTTGTTAATTATTGTAATTTACAATACTTTATTTTTACGTACTTTTTAAATAACATGTTACCACATATGTCTCAATTTATACATTATAAAATTTATATAGTAAATAATTTTGTTGATATATTTTTGAAATATTCTAAGTTGTTAATTGTTATAATTTTATATAATAGTCTTTTTCGTAATTTAAATATCTAACATATTAAAAATAAAAGTAAGACATATAAATTGAAACAGAATTACTAAAATATAAATAGCAAAATGAAGTTTTATCACTAAAGTAGGAACAGATAATATGTGAGGAGCAGGGAGCTTGTCACCAAGCTACTCTCAGCTGGAAATCTATCGATTTCTTCCAATTCAAAATAATATTAAATTTAAGCAGAAGGCAACAACTTAAGCTAACAAATACAACATTTAACAAGACATAAATCGATGAAACAAAGATGGAAAGACGCAAGTCAGTAAGGGCTCTCTAAATTCGACTGGAAAAAGTTTCGGCTGAAAGGGAAAAACCTAACACATGCAGTGGCGGATGTAGAGTGTGTCCAGGGGGTCGAAAAAAAAATTACACTAAATATATAAGATCAATTTTTTTGTGTACGTGTAGAACCCCCTGAGCATATATATCAAAGGAGTAGCTCAATGGTTTATGGGGTTCAGGATTTCGCCTATATGTGAGCTTTGGGTCACAAGTTCGATTCCAGGCAACAACATTTTTTTTATTTGAATCCCTGGATAGAATTCCTGTCTCCGCCACTAAACACATGAAATGAACAAACCAAAGACAGAAGGTATACCTTTTTTTCGTTCGTAGGAGGGAATTTCTGAAGAGTTGATTTCACCACCAAATGAATCTGTTGTTTTTTCAAGAAAATTAGGAGAAACTTTCCAGAACAACCAATGCAGAAGAAGGAAGATACAAAACATATGTGGTTGCAGATGGAAGTACGAAACAGGTGGCAACGCAAGAAAGAGGGGAAAAGGGGAGATTACCAGCTTGCTCTTTTGAATATCCACAAGGTAAAATGACAAGAATACCCTTTTGAGTGTCCAAAGAAAGCCTTAGGAGAAATGACAGGAATACCCCTAAGGATGTCAAGAAAGTCTCTCTTATCAAGAAGAATAATGATTTTATATCGAAATATTTTATTTTATTCTAGAATTAATAAATCACAACACGTTACTTATTATTTTGATATTTTCTTTCAATTCAAATTAATAAACCAAAACGCCCAATTCTTGGCCAAAAATGAAAATTCAACTCAGAAGGAGGCCAAAGTAGAAAAGTAAAGTCAAAGTCGACACTTCTTCTTCCCACCTTCCCCTGTTTTCTCCACCTCCACAACAATGGCACACAACTCATAAATCCACACCAAATACCTCATTCTTCTTCACCCATTTCCTCCAAAAATGAGACTACTATTCATACTTTTCACCATTCTTATCATCACCATAGAAGCTGCAGATATTCTTCCTAATTCTACCCTTTCAGCTTCCAACCCAAACTCCAAATGGTCATCTCCAAACAACACCTTCTCTCTTTCCTTCCTACAGCTCGACCCCACAAACCAGAGTTCCTATTTTGCTGCTATTTCTTACAACAATATACCCATATGGAAAGCCGGCGCCGATACCGTTAACGGTGGAGCAGTTGATATCTCTGGTGAACTACGGTTCCTCTCTAACGGTGACCTTCAGCTCATAAGTGGGTCTTCTGGTTCTGTTGTTTGGAGTTCAGGAACTGTAAATCGTGGTGTTTCTTCAGCTTCTCTTGATGATAATGGAAATTTTCGTCTCAAAAACGGTACGGTATCGAACATTTGGTCTACTTTTGATAACCCAACTGATACTATTGTTCCTGGACAGAATTTCACTAATAATCATGTTTTGAGATCTGGGTTGTATTCTTTTAGCCTTATGAATAATGGGAACTTGTCACTTTTGTGGAATGGTTCTATAGTGTATTATAATTCTGGGTTGAATTCTTCTGTAAATGTTAACTTGTCTTCGCCTAGTTTGGGAATGCAGCCTATTGGGATTCTTTCACTTTCTGATCCTAGTCTTTTGAACCCTGTGAATGTTGTTTATAGTAGTGATTATGCTGATGAAGGGAACATTTTAAGGTTTTTCAAGCTGGATAATGATGGAAATCTTAGGATTTATAGTTCTACACAGGGTAGTGGGACTCAAAATGTGAGATGGGCTGCTTTAACTGATCAGTGTCAGGTTTTTGGTTATTGTGGGAATTTCGGGGTTTGTAGTTATAATGAAACTGATCCAACTTGTGGATGTCCTTCGCAGAATTTTGAGCTTACTGATCCGAATGATAGTCGAAAAGGGTGTAGGAGGATAGTTGAACTTAGTAATTGTCCTTCCAATGCAACTATGTTGCAATTGGATAATGCTAAGTTCTTGACTTATCCTCCGGAATTATCTGAGCAGATTTTTTCTGCTGGTATTTCAGCATGTAGGTTTAACTGTCTTGTTAATGGTGCTTGTGTTGCTTCGACTTCTTTAGCAGATGGCACGGGGATGTGTTATATTAAACAGCCAAATTTTGTTAGTGGCTATCAGGCGCCGACCCTTCCTAGCACTTCATTTCTTAAGATATGTGGGCCTGCAATGCCTAATCCTACTGCAGTTTCAGACACTGTTCAGGAGAAGAATGGAGGGAGGGTTCCTGGCTGGGTTGTCGCAGTTGTGGTTGTGGCTAGTGTTTTGGGTTTGATCCTGTTGGAGGGTGGTTTGTGGTGTTGGTGCTTTAGGAACAGTTCTAAATTTGCATCACTGTCATCTCAATATGCACTTCTTGAATATGCCTCTGGTGCCCCTGTGCAGTTCACATTCAATCAGCTTCAGCGGGCAACCAAGGGGTTTAAGGAGAAGCTTGGTGCAGGAGGATTTGGGGCTGTTTATCGGGCAGTTCTGGCTAATAGGGCTGTTGCTGCAGTAAAGCAGCTGGAAGGAATTGAGCAAGGAGAGAAGCAGTTCAGAATGGAGGTTGCTACTATTAGTAGCACACACCATTTGAATTTGGTGAGATTAATTGGGTTTTGTTCTGAAGGGCGCCACAGGCTACTGGTCTATGAGTTCATGAAAAATGGTTCTCTTGATAAGTTCCTCTTTTCAGAAGATCATTCATCGGGAAGGCTTTTGAACTGGGAGCAACGGTATAATATTGCTTTGGGGACGGCAAGAGGTATCACATACCTTCACGAGGAATGCCGAGATTGTATAGT